AGGAAGGGTGCAAAATCTGCAGCAGACATGGCAAAGGAACCCAGCTACCATCTTCTCCCGAATACAAAGTCCACCGTCCGGTCATTATTTCTGTATCTAGACTCAAAATTGCCCCAAATACAGCCATAAGGACCGTATGTCGTATTCGGGTAACGACGGTGCCCGAGAGCAGGAGTGTACTCTCCACTCCCTGGGCTTCCAATACACACCACCACACCTTCAAATGAAGTAGACAGTGCTAGACACAGGACTAAAAAGTTTTGAGATCAATGGATAAGATGAATGCAGAAAAAAAAAAAAAAGAAAAAAAAAAGACGAATGCAGAGAGTCGGGAAAAGGAGTGAAGGAAACTCTACGTCCATGACAATACACTTGTGAAACTCATCAGGAATTTTGTTGATTTCAATCTGCAAAGAGGGGCAAAAAAACAACAACACTTTCCAGTCCTTCCTTTTCGAGTCTTTCGACTCTACCTGATCTACTCCCACATGTTGCATCTCCCACCTACCGCCTTCACCCAAATAGAATGCCCGGTACTTTATTGCCATATCTGGACTGAAAGTTGCATCAAATACAGCTATCATGACTGGCCATTCCATTTGGGTGAAGATGGTCGCACACCCGCTGTAGCAGCACTTGGTGCTCCTGCAAGTACTGCACTTGCCACTTTGGTCCACTTGCTGCACCTGGTCAAAAGTTTGCACCTGGTCCACAAAATCTACCTGCACCTGGTCCAAAGTTTGCACCTGGTACACAAAGTTTGCTCCTCCACCAGGTGCACCTCAACATGTGTACCTCCCACCTAGCACGCCTCTGCTAAAACCCCACTTTTGCATCAGCTTTGCCTTTTCCTCCTCGACCGGCGTTTGCACCTGGTCCACCTTGTGCACCTGGTAAGTCGGCATATGCACCTGGTCCATCTTGTGCACCCGGTACGCCGCTGGTCCTCCTTTTGCACCTGCTAGATCTGCGACACTCTTCACAACTGACTGGTACTCGTCTAGCTGATGGATACAACTGTCGCCAAGATACGACCGTCGTTCCCATCAGCTACACCACTTGCCGCTGCTTTGCGAGGACAACACACCAGTTCGATTTGTCGAAGAAGCTGTCCACTACTGTGGCCTCCGGAACCTGGCGAACCAGACTGGCATGTCAAACAGAGAAAAAGAAAAGGAAGGAAAAGAACACAAACATGAGAGAGGAAAAGAACACAAACACCAGAGAGGAAAAGAACACAAACACCAGAGGAGAATACCAGTCTTTAGTGAGCCATAGCCTGAGAGAGGGCTACCACATCCAAAGAAGGCAGAAGGCGCGTAAATTGGCTACCGCAATGATCCAAGGAAGGCAGCAGGCGCGTAAATTACCCAATCCTGTTATAAGGAGGTAGTGATAATTCTTAGTGAGCCATTCAGCAGCCCTTGAACCACTAAAATCTTCCGTCAGTCTCTGCCGAGGGGACGAGTGCTCGCATTCAAGTGTGCATTCGTTTGTGCTTGTGTGTGCACCTGTCTCGCATTCAAGTGTGCATTCGTATGTTGTCAAATTACCGTCAAGTTATGTGCCGAGAGACAGATGAAGATCGCTGACTCTGAGTGGGTGGGTACAATGGTGATGAACAGGCAAATGTGGCTGGCTGTTTGTGTTTATGTATAGGACAGAGCAGATTCGCGTTGAGCAGCACTGCAGTCATCTCTTAACGGGCAGAATCTCTCTCTCTCTCTCTCTCTCTCTCTCTCTCTCTCTCTCTGTTACATGCTGCGCCTGCAAACGAGGGCCATTTTCAGGCCCTGTGTCTTTTCAGCCTAAGAGCCTGAAAACGAGGGCCTACAGGCCCTGTGTCGTTTCAGCATAAAAGCCTGAAAATGAGGGCCATTTTCAGGCCCTCATAAAGTCGACCTGGCCTGAAACTTAGGCACCAGACCAGGGTTTTAGCACAGGCCATTTTTGAGTGGGCGCCTGTTTTCACGACAACCTTTGTTTGAACTTGAACACGACACACTGTGTATTGCAGGTGTTCAAGTTCAAACAAAGGTTGTCTTGGGGTCTGGCACGTTTTGGCATTGGCAAGAGCAGCCTCCTGGACGGGCCAGCACTATATAAGACTGGCTCGCCCTGCAGGTAGGCAGGAGGTAGTTCATAGGGACTTCCCAGGCAGTTCACGGGCACTTCACGTGCAGGAGGCAGTCTTCAGCAGTCGGCAGCAGCACTCTGGAGGAGCACTGCAGTAGTAGTAGCTAGCGCTAGAGTAGTCTTCAGCGCTGGGCGCTGCTAGGAGGTAGAGTAGACTAGAGAGAGAGAGAGGGAGAGGCCGGGGAGACTTACCTGTGGCGCCATAGCTCCAGCTTTGTCTTCGATGTATCTGCAACAAGGCGCCATCTTCACAGGTTAGTACCGGACACAGAGAGAGAGAGAGAGAGAGAGAGAGAGAGAGAGAGAGAGAGAGAGAGAGA